TGGGACTTCATCGGAATTTATTCAAACGCTGCTCCCTCGACACTCAGGAACCATGTTCTCGCTGTGGCCTTTCTCAAGACTTGCTTGGGAATCGCGCTATCGCTCGAGAGGTGCCCGCGCGATTCATGCAGGACTTACGCTTCAGCAGCCCGCCTTCTCGACCTGGCCGCCAGGGCCCGCCTTCCCGACCCGCCTGCGAGGGTCTGCCCGCCCGAACTGCCCGTCCGGTTTTGCCACTTGTTTTCTGATGCAAGCTCCCCCCTCCTGCGAATTTCTCTCGTGCTCCGTTCTTCTCCCTCCCCAGTCCATCCGTCCTCTCTTCCCCTGTTTAAGGGGCTGCGCTAAATGCACGTGGCGGGTAATGAAAATATACCCCCAAGGGAGGGCGGGTACCGAGGGCTTGGGATATACGTGTTGAGTGGCACGCTAGCAGATAGGAGCGAACAGGCTAAAAATTATTGATCTCGAATTAGTGAAGAATAATTATTGTTGACCCCCCTCCGGCGCACATTGCGCTTGCTCGATTGAAGTGCCCCTCCTGGGGCTCGCACCTTGCTTTTGTATAAAGCAAGGTCGTGAGGCTCAATGGGCCCCTGGCCCCCCGAACTGCAACAACAACAACAACGGCTCCCGCCTGATAATTCCTCATACGTTATTGGGCCTCCCCGCTCCCGCATGAGACTTCCTCGCAATTTACTCAAGAATCGCGCGCTCGCCTGAAAGTTCCTTGCAATTTACTAAAAGCGCCGCGCTCTCGCCATTCAGGAATTGCGCTCTCGCCTTGGACCTCCTTGTAGTTTACTTGGGAATCGGGCTCTCGCCCGAGACCTTTGGCGAATTATGCAAGACAGGCGGACACCCAAGGTTTAGGAAACACGTGTTGATTGGCACGCGCGCGTATCAGAGCGAACAAGCTTAAAATGTTTGTTATTGCTGCTCATGTCGTGTTTTTGATTGTTGTTCTTACTATTACTCGTATTGTTGTTGTTGTTGCTGTTGGTGTTACTGTTGTATAGGTGTTGTTGTTGTTGCTGTTGTTGTTGTTGTTGCTGTGTGTTGTTGTTGTGTGTTGTTGTGTGTTGTTGTTGCTGCTGCTGCTGCTGTTGTTGTTGTTGTTGTTGTTGTTGCTGTTGCTGTTGTTGTTGTTGTTGGTGGTGTTGTTGAACTCTCATTCTTGAAGAATAATTATTGTTAATCCCCCCCCACCGGTGCACATTGATTTTTTTCGATTGAAGTGCCACCCCCGGGGCTCGCACCTTGTTTTTCCCAAGGAAAGTCTTCCTGCTCAAACTGTGCCCCTGCCCCCCGGGCTACAACAACAACGGCTCCCGCCTGAGACTTCCTCGATTTTTACTCAGGACCCCCGCTCCCGCCTGAGACTTCCACGCAATTTACTCAGGAAAGGCGCTCCCGTCTGAGACTTCCTCGCAATGTAATCAAGACCCCCGCTCCCGCCTGAGACTTCCGTGCAATTTACGTGGGAACGGCGCTCCCGCCTGAGACTTCTTCGAATTTTACTCAGGACCCCCGCTCCTGCCTGACATTTCCGCGCAATTGACTCAGGAACGGCGCTCCCGCCTGAGACTTCCTCGCAATTTAGTGAAGACCCCCGCTCCCGCCTGAGACTTCCGTGCAATTTGCTCAGGAACGGCGCTCCCGCTTGAGACTTCCTCGCAACTTAGTCAGGGCCCCCGCTTCCGCCTGAGATTTCCTCACAATGTACTCAGGACTGCGCTCTCGCGTGCGACGTCCTCACAAATTATTCTGGAATTGCGTTTCGGCGCTCAGGAACCACGCGCGCGCCAAGGACGCCTTCACAACGTGGTATCTTCCCTCTTCCTTCGTCCTTCCCCCTCCCCTTCCTCCCACTCTCCCTCGTTCTTCCCCTCCTCCTCTTGCAGGGCCCGCGCCAATTCCAATGGCGGGCAAAGAGATGTACGCCCCCGAAGGATTGTCCGCCCGTTCCGGTTTGCCCGTACGTCTAAGCCCGCCGGCCCCAGCAAAGAGAAATAATCCCCCCGAAAAGGGTGTGTTCGAAGACGAAGAGGGCGGGTATCGCGGGTGCAGGGTATACGTGTTGAATGACTCGCGGGCAAGTAAGAGCGTACAGCCTTAAAATGGTTGTTGTTGTTGTTGTTGAACATTATTACTTCTAAAGAATAATTATTGTTGGGGCCCCTGGTGCACGACCCCCCCGCCGCGCCTAGGCCGCAGCCTCATTTTCATCATTTTCGTGAGGAAGTCTCAGGCAAAACGGGGGAGTCCGGATCCGGTTGTGTTGTTACGATCGGTTTTCCCTTGCAAAAAATAAGCTAAAGTGGACATTTCTTGTTCTAACATAACCAAATTTCAAGAATCCCTTGCAAAAAATAAGGTAAAGTGGACATTCGCGCGCGCAAGGCGAAATCCTTCCAAAACCTTAGTTTTCGTAGCGATTTTAACATAAAAACATCAAAAAACCAATGGTTTTTCAACAAAAAATTGTCAAAATGTCATCCCGCGCGCTCTTGCGGATTCGTAGGAAACCCAACACTTTTTAAACATTTCTGTCAAACGGGCTTTTGCGAGCAACTTTTTCGAACTTCTGCAACAACGGTTGCGCACCTGCCAGGGCCATCATCCCTGTCAAATAATACCATGCGGGACACATTCGTTTTTTCTTCGCGCGCGCACGCCGTCGTCGTCGGCCGCGGGGCCCTGAATAGTAGCCACGGTCGTCCGCATGCCACGAAGTGAAGTGTCCGAACGTCATAGGGCGGGAAGCTGGGTGTGGGTGGTGGCGAAGAGTCGTTTGGAAATTTGGTAGAGCTTGAACCGGCCCCCCCACAAAGTGGGGGTATTGCCCGCCTCCTATGAAAACCCTGGCACTGGTGAGAACGGTGTGTCCCCACGTGCTAGTAATTGTTGTTGTTGTTGTTGTTGTTGTTGTTGTTGTTGTTGTGTGTTGTTGTTGTTGTTGTTGTGGTTGAGTTCTCATTTCTGAAGAATAATTATTGTTGATCCCCCCACCGGTGCATACTGTTTTTCTTTTCAAAGTGTGCCCCTCGACGCTCGCACCCGGTTTTTTGACAGGAAAAATCTTCCTGCTCAAACTGGGCCCCTGGCCCCCGGGTTACAATAATAACGGCTCCCGCCTGAGACTTCCTTACAATTTAGCCAGGACCCCCGCTCCCGCCCGAGTTTTCCTCGCATTTTATTCAAGAATCGCGCTCTCGCTTGGGACTTCCTCACAATGTATTCAGGAATCGGTTTCCCGGCGCTCTGGAGTCGCGCTCTCGCTGGAGACTTGCTTGCAACTTACTGAAGAATGGCCTTGCGTTGGGATTTCCTGCAATTTGCCCAAGCGCCGCGCTCCCGACACCCAGGCAACCAGGAGTCGCGCCCGTTGTGGCCCCATGTGCATGCCCTTCGTGGCCCCGCTGTCGCCCTTCGTGTTCCCCTCACTGTCCTACGTGGCCCAGTTGCTACCCTCAGTGGCCCCATAGTTGCCTTCAGTGGCCCCGCATTATCTGCACTTCGTGGCCCCCGCTCGTTCGCGCTCTTCGTGGCCCCATACGCATCCCCTTCGTGTCCCCGCTGTCGCCCTTCGTGGCCTACTTCGTGCCCTTCGTGGCTCTGCTGTCGTTCTCTCTCGCTCTCTCTTTCGCTCGTCGTCGCCGTCGTCGTCGTCGTCGCCGTCGTCGTCGTCGTCGTCGTCGTCGTGGTCGGTCCCCTGCCCGTCCCTCTTGGGGTCGGGTCGACGGTCCGCGGCCGCCCCGCCGATCAGCGCTGCCGCTGGCCAGGCCGACGGTCCGCGGCCGCCCCGCCGATTGCCAGGGCCCAGCCTGCAGGTAAGAAAGGTATCCCCCCCAAGAGGGGTTCGATCGAAGACGAAGAGCGCGGGTATCGAGGGTTTGGGAAATACGCGATATTGGACACTGGAGCATATAAGGGCGAACGGTCTTAAGATTATTGTTGTTGTTGTTGTTGTTGTTGGTGTTGTTGTTGTTGTTGTTGTTGGTGTTGTTGTTGTTGTTGTTGATGTTGTATTTGTCTTCGTCTTCGCCCGCGACCCTCTCCGCAACCCGCCCGCGACCCAACCCGCGACCCGCCCGCGACCCACCCGCGACCCACCCCGCGACCCACCCGCGACACAGCCCTCGTCCGCCCCCTCGCTCTTGTCTGCCACCGCGGGGTGCTGCGCAAGGTCATAACTTGAGGTTCCCTGCCTCGGGCGGCCCGCTGGCGACCCACCCGCTGCTCGAGCGATGCTCGTTTGCCCCTGCCCGCCTCCGCAGTGCCTACCGCAAGCCTGAAGGCAGCGTGGCGAGGCACGGCACTCGGGAGGACGGGACAGGACAGGACGCTGAGCACGTGCCGTGCGCGCGCGCGGCGACGTTGCCCTGAGGGCTCAGCGGAAGTTGATCAGCCCATCTCGTTAATGGGCGTCCGCGGGCTCTGTGCCCGTCAGGCTCCCAGCTCTGGACTCCTCATGCCCAGCGCTCACGGTTCATCTTGCCCAACATTTGACTCCAACACTGCAGCCTGGAATTGTGCTCTTCGGTCAAGCCGGATACGCCGTGCTCCTCCCTGAGCGTTCGTGCTTCAGATGTGACGCGCTGGGCTGGGTGCCATGGTTGACGTGGTTCGGCGTGGCGCCCGACCAGGGCTCACAGAACACGAGAACCATCTCGAACGCACTCGTACGACAAGAAAGACGCCGTAGGGATGACGACCAGAAACACCGAGAAGCACATAATCAAATGCAGTTGCCGTGATTAAAACCATCAGTAGATCCAATGGCTAGACGCCCCAGGGCAAGAGTGACCTTTGGTGCGCGGCCGAAGGGAAGCCCCCTTGGGGACACCACCAGGCGCGCAAGCCGCTGCTATCGCATCGCGTTCAGCGATCGGGGGGCCCAGTGGGCCCGCATCAAACGTCACTCCAACGACAGGTCATCTTTACGTGTAGCCGAACCCCGTGTGCCAAGGTACTACGGTTGCGACGACGCGCCGAGGAACCTGGCAACCGCACTTCGGCCTCCTCGCAACCTCCTCCTCGAGGTCCTGCAGGTCCCGGCGGTACCTCCGCGTCGCCCTCGTCGCCCACGTCGTCGTCGTCGTCGTCGTCGTCGTCGTCGTCGTCGTCGTCGTCGTCGTCGTCGTCGTCGTCGTCGTCGTGGTCGTCATCGGCGTCGTTGTCATCCTCCTCGTCGTCGTCGTCGTCGTGTGGTGGTGGTGGTGGTGGTGGTGGTGGTGGTGGTGGTGGTGGTGGTGGTTGTCGTCGTCGTCGTCGTCGTTGTCGTGGTCGTCGTTGTTGTTGTTGTGCATGTCGTCGTCGTCCGCGTCGTCCTCGTCGTCGTCGTCGTCCTCGTCGCCGTTGTCGAAGGCGGCGGCGGCGGCGGGGGGGGGAGCAAATGTGGGAAGGAGGACGGAGGATGAGGAGGTGAAGGGAGGAATGGCGAGGAGGGGAGCCAAGAAGGGATGGGCGGGGAGGGATAGGATGTCATATGTGATGCGAACGCACAGAAGGGGAGACGGGACGGGAGGGGAACGCAGGAGAAAGGAGAGGGGAAGATGAGGATGACGGAGGAGGAATGAGATGGAGGAGGGGGAAGGGCGATGATGACGAGGGCTGGTGCCACCAGCCCTCGTCATCATCGCCCTTCCACCAGCCTGGTGGCGGAGGAAGAAGGAGGTATATAGAACAGAAGGGTGAAGAGTGAAGAGGAGGAGGAGGAGGAAGGGAGGGAGAAGGGACTGGGAGAGGAGAAGAAGGTGCGGCGTTGTGCCACGGATCCTGGACTCCGTAGCCATTTAGGCTCAAGGTGGCTTGAGCGGCTCGGGCGGCGCAGCACCCCCTGCCAGCGGCCGCGCGGGGCGCGGTGGTTGCGGCAGCAGCGCGGCCGGGGCGGGCCAATGTTCGACGGGCCCTGCGGGGCGGGCGCGCCTCTCGCCAGGGCTCGAGTAGGGGATCGACTAATTACAGAACTCATTTACCCCCAAATGGACTTGTCGTCGAATCTTCGAACATCCTCCACGCACTCTTCATGGGTTCGACAACAAAAATCAGGTTTGGGGCAGATCAATTCTGTAGTCGAACCCCTGCTCGAAAGGGTGACCTGGGGATGGCTCGCGGTGCCATTTCCCCCAGCGCTGGGCTGCTGGGAGCTGCCCGGATCTGGCGGAGGCGGCCGAAAGCCCTTGGCGCCTACCAGGCCCAGTGGGCGGGCAGGCGCCGCAGCTGGCGCGCCGACGCCCGCCGCCTATGGAGTGCAGGGCCCACCAACCCTCCGCGGCGGCGCTGGGGGAGCGGTGCTATGGGCTCGAGGGTTGGCGCGTGGCCGCCCCCTGCAGCTCGGAGGGACCCCGACCGACGGCGGCGCCTGGCCGGAGCACCCCGTCGACGGCCTGGCCGCAGCGCACGCTGGCCGCGACGCAGCTGACGCCGGCAGGCCAGCTCCGCGGGCGGCGGGTGGGCCCCTGCGGCTCCTCCGACGAGCCGGCAGCTGGCAGCCCCGCCGGAGAGCGACGGCGCGGGCAAAGTCCCCGCGAGCCAGCTCCGGGGCGACTGGCGCGCAGCTTTCGCGCGGCTGCTACTGGGCGCCGCTTGCGCCAGCACAGGCACCGGGTGTGCAGGAGCCCGCGCGGTAGCCGGAGCCGCTCCGCACGGTCGGCGCTCCGCTGGCGGCGCCGCGCCCGGGCGCGCAGGCGCGGACGGCCAGCGCGGCGGCAGCGGCGACGCCAGCACACCGCCGGGGCCGCAGCTCCCAGCTCCAGCTTGGGCGCGCCACTCCTGGTGGCGGGAACGCTCCTCGCAGCCGCGCCGCAGGCGGCGCCAGCGGCGGCCGGGGCGCCGACAAAGGCGGCGCTGGCACTGGCTGGAGCGGGCGCGGCAAGGGAGCCAGCAGCGGCGGCGCCAGCGGCAGGGCGCAGCCGCGCGGGAAGCAGCTCGGGAAACACCTCGAGAAACACCTCGGACAGCAGCCTGGCGCCGACAGCGGCACCGCGAGCGCCGGGAGTCGGAGGCGGCGCCAGCGGGGGCGCCGCAGCGGCCACTGGCACCGAGAGCGACCCCGGGCCCGCCACCTCCTGCGGCGGCAGCCGCCGTGGCGGCAGCCCTCATGGCACACGGAGGTCGCCGGCCAGGGTCCGCGCCGCCACCGCCAGCTCACGGCCGCGAGCGGCTGCCGGTGCCGCCGGTGGAGCGTGGAGCCCGACGCTGGTGACCACGGCATCGAGGCAGAGTACGACCTCGACTGGTCGGCCGCTGGCGGCGCCGCGGCTACCGCGGTGCACTCAATCGCCAGGGCACACGCCGCGGGGGCGCTCCCGGACTGGCTCGGCTCCCGCAAAGCAGCGGTGGCGACCCAGCCGCGGCAGCTCGGCGCGCCGCGGGCGCAGGCGGCGCCCGCGTGAAGCGCGAGCGCTGGGCCGACGCTGCTGAAGACAGCGCCGAGGATGGCCCTGGCGTCAGAGCTTGGCAGCCGACCCAGCCAGGCGACAGCGCGCTAGCTGGGCCCCGCGCCTGCGCGGGCGACGGCGCCAGAGGGGCGCAGGCGGGCGCGCTGCGGCAGCGGGCGACCCCGCCGCCAATGTGCCCGCAGCGATCCTCGCCGCAGCCACGGCCCTGCCGATCGCCCCAGAATGGCAGGGTGGCGCAAATGCGCCGCCGCCCGACGCCGGGCGCTGAGCGCTGCTCGCGCTGGCTCGGCCGCTGCGCTGCTGCGGCCCCCCTGGCGGCGGGCAACTCGACAGCGGCGGAGGCGTCGACGCGGCGGGCCGCCGCGGCGCCTTGGGTCTGAATTGGCCTCGCCGGGTGAGGGCGCCCCCTGCTGGCCCTCGGCCCCCCCCCCTCCCGCTGCCCCCCCTCCCCCGCGCCGCTTCCTGTCGTTCGTCTGTCGTCAATCGCTAGTCTGCCGTGTCGTGCCATGGTGCTCCCTGTGCGCTGGTGTGGACAATGCCACGCATCCTGGAAACACGTAGGAGGAAGGCGGACGAGTTGGCGAATGACGAGGGGGCAGGGTCGCCTGTCACCAGGCGAAGCGCAAACAAGATAATGCGCTGTGGCAGGAACAAGCCTGCAGCCGCCTGTGGGCCCCCCTGCACCCTTGGCGGGAAGAGGGACGAGGATGCGGAGAAAGGTGGATGATAATGAGGAGGGGGTGAGGATGGGATGAGGACCAAAGGAAGGTGAAGGAGGAGGATCAAACAACGAACGGATGAAAATAATGAGCCGGATGATTTAAAGAAAGAGGGGAAGCGGCATCCTGTCGCAATCACTGGAAACGGTGAGGAGAGGAAACACGAAACGAAACAAGCCATGACTCTTAAGACCATCACCGCAATCGCTTGGACTAGCACGAGCTACCCTGGCACACTTCAAACATCCGGGCCGACAAACGATCGCTTGCGGCAAACTTCGAAACATTGACCTGCACCGTGCCGTAAACGTGCCTGCTGGTCTCCTGCATTGCGAGCGTATGCTGTCGCATTTCTCTGTCCTGTCAGGTCTCTTGTTTCCTGTCGTTTGTCTGTCAAGGCCTGCCTACTCCCTGTTGTCCACTCGGGGGCCCTCAGTGTCACCGCCCAAAGAAATTATGCGTGTGTGTGTGTTTGTTTGTGTGTATGTCTGTGTCTGTGTCTGTGTCTGTGGGTTTCAGCATCCTGGCCGCACAAAGTTGCCCCGGAACTACGGGACGCTGCAGGGCGGCTAAGAGGACACAAAAGGCTTTCAGGAGCACGCCCAGAGAGCCCCGAGCGGGCCCTAAGAGCTCAAGATGGCCCAAGATGCCATCAAGGCGGCCCCGGACGCTCCATCAGGGGGACCAGGAACCTACCGAGAGCACCCGAGAGCCTCCGAGAAGATGAAATGTGTGAGAAGCACTGTGTGTGTGCTTCAGTTGTCTTTTTTCGAGGGCCTGCGCTCAAGGAATCCCACGATAGTTTTAACACAGTTGTCATTATACCCAGGATGGCTCCAGTGCTGCCGGTGGCTCTCAGACACCTGCTGAGGCCACAATGCGGCACTGACACCTCGCCCAAGACGGCCCGATATGCTCCCAGAAGTCTCCCAGATGGCCCCCAAGAGGTTCCAATGTAGGCCCAGCGTTGCTTGGGATGGCCCACAGATGGCCTACAGAGGCCCCAAGACGCCTCCGAGAGACTCTTGCCTGCCCAACAAATCTGCAACCTGGCCACAGATGGCTCCGCCTCGGAGGGCGGCGGCAGGGAACACAGACTACCTCGAACACGCGTCGCGCTGAATCACCTGCGCGGAAGATGCCCGAACGTCAGCCAAGAAGGTTCAGCGACCCTTCAACGGCTCCAGCACGTCGCCAAGACACCCAGAACCCCAACAAACCTCCCAGGCGGCGACAGCTCCGAGACGGCCTCGGGACGGCCCGACATCCTCCCAAGGCAGGCCCAGCCCCCCGAGGGCTCCAGGGCAGCCCCAAGGCCGGCCCGCCCCGACGTCCCAAAGATGACTCCACCGAGCCGCCTCGGGAAAGCTCGGCATGAGCTGCGCGGCCAAGGTGGCCCGATACCCCCAGGTGGGCCCCCGACGGGCCGCAAGAGGCCCCCGAGAGATCCGCAGGAGGCGCCCAACGAGAACCCCAGAGAACCTCGAAGACGCATCGAAGAGGGCCGCGCGACTCCTTCAAGGGAGAAGCGGGGGAGGAGGAGAAGAAAGAAGGACGAGGAGGACAGGGCTCAGGACAAGGATGGGGGGTTCAAGACTCGCACCTGGTCAGACAGGGCACTGATCTGGAGCGGGTATTCAGCTCAGCCTCGTCCCTTCTGCGCTGCTGCGCAGGCACTGTGACGGGACTCGCATCAAATAGCTGGATAGCCTGCTCTAGGCCTAAATCCTAAATGTCCTAGCTAAGCGCTTTCCTATGGGCTTCGAGCCCTAATCCGAAACTGTACGATGCATGACGCTGGCGCGGCCCCAGCGAGGAGCTTCCCTCGTGATCAAAAGCAAGCTGAAGATAAGTTACGTCTCAGGCACAGTCGCACTCAATCTTGGACCAACCGAAGACTAAACTGAATACAACATGATAAGTATTGGTTTGGGTCCTGGGAAGCTTTATTATGCGCTGCTGTGCTTTTGCAGTGCGGTGCAGCGCGATGCATTTGCGTCCTGTGTTCGGGCTTGCGATGTGCATAATAGCTGGTTTGCACCGCACAATCCTACATTGTGTCTTTACTTCGATTTGGATGATTTTGCATCGCAGTGTGTTGCAACGTGCTGCGCTGCTTTCTTTACTCTGCACTGGGTAGCACTGCGCTGATTTGCATTGCTGCTCTGTGCGCTGCATCGCAGTGATTTGCTTTGCTCTGGATCAAACAAGCATTGTATTGCGTTGCGGTGCGTCTGCAAGGGATCATCATGATTTGCGGAAGGGTGACTCTTGAGGAAGAAGGGGCATCATCAAGGAACCGAGGAAGGGCACCTCAACAATCCGAGCCTCGGCATACGGCTGTCAAAATGCAATCCTCCACCGATGCGGCCCCTGCGTCCCTTTCTGTCCAGTCCCTGTGCTCTGGCCTGCCGTCGCTGCCTCTGCTGCAACGTGGAAACCAAACTGTTTTGCATCCCGACCTTACGTGCTCACACCTGTGCGAGGCGAGGCGAGGCGAGGCGCGCTGTGTCCGGCCTAGACGGCCGACCCACGGGGGGCAAGGCGCAGTGGCCGCAGCCCTCATATGCCGTCCCTGTGCACGAGCTCTGATTCACATGAACTCCAGTCCCCGGCGTACTTGTACCATATGCCCTGGACTCCTCTCGATGATACGAACCTTTGAATACCACCAGACCGACGAGCTCTAGGTCTGCCCTGTGCGAGAGGAACGAAACCCGAGTGAACCTAACCTCTCGGAGGTCCGCGCGGCTTTCTTGGATCGGCGCTGGGCCCTCGCCCCCCCCCGGACGGGCAGAGCGCGCCCGGGGCGGCGCCAGAGGCGCCCAGCGCGGAGGCCCTAGGCGCCGATCCGGGAGAGCTGCGCGGAGCTCCGAGGGGCCACGTCTGTGCGGCCGTTCCCTGCTTCGACCCCTTTGCGCGGAGGGACCTGGGGCCCCTCTTTTTTCCCCAAGCTCGGCGCTCAGACTTTGGACGGTTGCTGCTTCTGCTAGGACAGCGAGGGCGGGCCCGCCCTTTCACGGGCCGCCGTGCCAATTCGCTCGGCGATGACCGAGAAAGAGGAAGAGGGGGAGAAGGATGAGGAATACAATTTACGCATTCGACGATGGACCCCGTGTTACCTACCAGCCCTGGACGGTCTTCGGCGACACACCAGCCCTGGACGGTCTTCGGCGGTCTTCAACGGTGTTTTAGCGGTCTTCGGCGGTCTTCTGACGGTGTTCGGCGGTCTTCTTCGGCTTCGGGTGGTTTCCTGCGGCTTTCGGCGCGAAATCAAAATAGTTGTTCTTAACAGGAGGTCCATGATTGAACGCCTAAAGTACACGTGGGCCTGGAGGAGGAGGAGAATCGGCGAAGAATAATAGGAGGGGGGGGGGAGGGGGATCAGCAGGAGGAGGGGCTCCGCTCCCTGCAGACGGTCCCTTGGACCGTGTCCAGAGCCTGGGCGCTGGGGAGAAGACGGAGAGGGGGGGGGACCCAGAGATCCGATGTCGTGACTTTTTCAATGCCGGGTCCCCGCAAGTCTCGACCCGTTCCCCAGGACCAGTTTTTCATCCTAAGTCGTTTTTTGACGGTCCCGCGGCCCAGCGAGGGCCCCTGGAGGCCGGACATTGCGAAAAACCGCCGCCTTGAGTTTTTCAATGCGTTGGCTCTCTGGGGAACGGCGGGCGAGAGGGGCGGGGGCAGGAGGGCCGCGTCTGCCAGGCACGCCGGGGGCGGGTCCTTCGGCCCCGCGTTGCCGCCGGCTCTCACGCTCTGCCCGCCGCGCCTCGCCGAGCTCCCGCGGTGGCCGCGCGCGCGCGCGCCGGCCGCACCCCGGCGCACACGCCGGGCGCTCGGGGGGGGCGCCCGGCCGCTGCGCTGGCGCCCCGCGGCCCCGCAGCGCCGCGCTCACATCTGCGGGCAGGGGCCCTCCGCGGCCGCCGGCGAGGCGCCCGCCGGGCTGGGAGGCGCCCGCGGCTGCGCCGGCGGCTGCGGCGGCCGCCCGCCGAGGTCCACGGGCCAGCCTGCGCGGCGCCCCGACCTCCCGGGCGCCGTGGAAAACGGGAGGCCACGGGCGTTGCTGCCCCGTTTGGTCGGTCCCCGGGGCCCAGCACGACTCCGCCGAGGTATATACCTGACGCCGCAGAGCGGCATAGGGGTCGATGCCTCGGGCAGCAGCGCGGGGCTTTTTCCACGACGCCGGATCTTGGGGACCCGAAAGGCGACTGCGCGGGGCTCAGCACGCTGTCGGCGTCGCTCGCCGACCGCCACCACAGGCGCACCTGATCCATGGCCTCCGCCGCCTGCTGCATGGCCTGCTCCATCGCCTGGTCCCACCACGCACTGTCCGCCCGCTGGCGGGCGGGCGAGAGCTGCCCGGCCTCGGCCGCGACGGCCTCCCGCCGCAGGTCGAGGACCCTCTGCCGAAGCCCGGTGCCCGCACCCTGCACCTGGTCGCGGTCCTGGCCCTCCAGCATGGAGCGGACCATCTTGATGACCGCCTCGGCCTGGTGGGGCGTGAGGGCCGCCGACCTCTCGTGGAAGCGCTCCACGAACGGGAACGAGGTCCAGCACGGCTCGGGCTCGCCGGCCCCTCGGGGATGCACGGCCTCGGGCAGCAGGAGCTCGAGCAGCACCAAGAGCACCGCAAAGATGGCCACCGCGCCCTCGAGCAGCAGGACGTCCCACACGCGCAGCACCTGGGGGAACCACAAGGCACCGATATACCGCTGCTCGCCGGGCCTGGCATTCGGAGCGGACTTTCGGGGCGAAGCCAACGGTGGCGACGAAGGCCTCCCAGGAGGCCGAAAACGGGGAAAACGGGCGAAGGGTGGAGGTGCACGGTTTCCCCCAGAAGGAGGAGGAGGAGGAGGAGGAGGAGGAGGAGGAGGAGGAGGAGGAGGAGGAGGAGGAGAGGAGGAGGAGGAAGGAAGGAGGAGAGGAGGAGGAGGGAGGAGGAGGGAGGAGGAGGAGGAGGAGGAGGAGGAGGAGGAGGAGGAGGAGGAGGAGAAGCAGGAGGAGGAGGGATTAGGAGCAGGAGGAGGAGGAGGAAAGGTCGCCAAAGCCCTTCGGAGAAACCCTCCAGGCAGAGGTATCGGTACCTTTTCCTCGTCTGAGCACCACGGCCCTCGGCAGGTAGAGCGCGAAGAGGCAGAGCAGCGGGTCGAACGCCAGAAGCATCACGGGCACCCCGCCGATGTCCAGGGCCTTGGCGAGCCGCGGCAGCCGATCGGCGACGAGCGCCTCGACGACGTGCACGTCTCGCTTGAACGCCCTGAAGGCCACGTCTCTGTAGTAGCCGGCGCAGAGCCCGTCGAGCACGTACTCGAACACCTGCAGCGCCTCGGATTGGGAAAAGGTACCCATACCGCTACCCTTCGCCCGTTTTCCCCTTTGTGGGCCTCCGCGGGGGCCCTCGTCGCCACCGTTGGATGCGCCTCGAAATTCTGGTTAGAACGCACCCGGGAGAGGTCTGGGGAGTAGCGGTATCGGTACCTTTTGGTTTCCCAGCGCCTGTGCCGGCTCCAGCCCAGCCCAGATAGGGCAGGCAGCCAGAAGGTGCATGCCCTGGACGTAGTGCTCACCCTTGTTGCCCTCTGGCAGCGCGGCTCCCCTCCTCTTGAAGTGCGCCCGCAGCACCCGCTGCAACACCCCCCTTTGCTCCTCCTCCAGGTTGGGGGTGCGCTCGATGTCCAGCACCATGGGCGAGTCCGGGTCTTTTTCGGCCTCATTCGGCGAAATCTGTGGCTCGCTGTCAGAGACGACAACCTGCGCCGAGTCGTGATGCTGCGCGCTGCCTGCGCAGAATCTCCAAAGCTCTGCCCGGTGTGGCCCAGGCGGGGCGAGGTACACCAGGTCCCGAGCTGATTCCCGCAAGGAGAAAGGCGTCACGGCGCCCTGCCAGGCGCCTTCTGACTGCAGGTGGCTGCACCACTCAGACCAGCAGCCGCGGTGGATCTTCAGAGCCTGCCATCGCGAATGAAGCCGCATGATTCGCCCGTTGTTCCAGCCGGGCATGAGCCACAGGCCCTCCAGAGCCGTGCGCTCTGACCAGTCCAGCGTGCGCACGAAGGCGGCCAGGCGGCTGTGAATTGCCTGGGCCTGCTCGAACTCCGAGCGTGTCACGGCCGCCTCCAGCGCGGACATCATCTCGCCGTACCTGGCCGCGGTGGCCTCGCTCGAGACGCTCGGGCCCGCGGCGCGGGAAGCGGCCGATGGCGAGTAGGCCACGCCGCCGGACGCCTGGTTTAGCATGGGGGACACGGGCCCAGAGTGAAACGGGTCGTGGACCCCGGAGCCTTTTCCCTGGACGAGATCTTCTTCACGAGCGGCTTTCTGACGGCCCAGGGGCCCGTGGAGGGCCCCGGAGAGCCCGAAGACTGCGGAAAACATCAGGATTAAGTCGGGCGTGTCCCCCTACAGTCTGATTTTGGAGGGAAACTAAAAAATGTTCAACAAAAAATCAAACATGAACAAGAATACTCGAAACATCGTTCCCCTAATATTTTTTGACTATTTTTGAATTTTCCTCCTGTAGAGGGACGGGCCCGACCGACTTAACATCAGGATCCGCTTCCCTCAAGGCCCGTTTCCCCAATGGCGAACGGTTTCCAGATCATAGCTCGGGTCTCCGGCGGCCGTTCGGGACGAGCCGGGCACCACCAGAGCAACCTCGGCGAGGCGCATCTGCTGCAACGCACCCCCAGGCTGGCAGACCGCCGAGAACTGCCGAGCACGCCCGAACACCTTGAGCCTCGAACTCAGACCCGCTTCCCCCCCGTGGAGAGCCAGTGGGGACGGCGGCGCGGAACACATCGTGAGGGCGGTGGTCGCCTCCATCCTCGGGGGTTGCTGAAGGTGTCCCTGCTGGCCCAGGGTTCCCCCAGCTTCTCGCCTCAGTCTCCATTTCGGAGCCCCATGGGGCCCTCTGGGCCTCGTGAGGGGTGCTCTGGAGGCCGCGGGGGCCTCCTGGGGAATCCTGGGGGCGCGCCTCGGGCCAAGGGCCCTTCTGGCAGCACCCAGCATCCCGCCAGCTCGGCGCGCCCTGCCGGCGCCTGGCGCGGCGCCGCCCGCGGGCGCAGCGGGCCTCGGCCGGCAGCGGGCGCGGGCGCTGGGCGCGGCGGCCGTCCATGGCGCGCCCGCGCGAGGGCGGGGGGGCGTCGGGGCCCTCTGGGACCAAAGGGGCTGTTGCAGCGGGCCAAGGGAGGCACGAAGAAGCAGACACAGCTCCCAGGCCTCCCCCGGTTGTCCTTCTGTCCCGGGTGTTCGTCTTCCCCTTCCAGTCCTCTAATACCAAGCCATCCTGTGGTACTGTGTCCTCGTCTTGAAGAAGCAGCGGCCTGCATCCCCATCTCCTCCTGCTCCTCCTCCTCCTCCTCCTCCCTCCTCCTCCTCCTCCTCCTCCTCCTCCTCCTCCTCCTCCTCCTCCTCCTCCTCCTCCTCCTCCTCCTCCTCCTCCTCCCTCCTCCCTCCTCCCTCCTCCTCCTCCTCCTCCTCCTCCTCCCCCTCATCCCTCCTCCCATACCTGGCTTTGCCCTCCGCGTGCCAATAATTTCGGCAGACCCCTCACACGTTCCGTGGACCTTCGGGAGCTCCATCCAAGGCCCGAGTGGTAGCGCCAGCATACATTTCCCCTCACACCTCGGCGCACTCCTCACACGTTTCGTGGCCCCACAGGGAGTTCCACCGAAGGCCAAAGTGGCAGCGCCCTCATACGGCTACATCCCCATGCCGGTGCACCCCTCACACGTTGCGTGGCCCCACGGGGAGCCCCGTGGCAGCGCCCTCCACTTCGGCGAACCACTCACACGTTTCGTGGCCCCACAGAGAGCTCACCGAAGGCCCCAGTGGCAGCGCCCGCATGCGGTTCCACTCCTACTTCGGCGCACATCTCACACGTCTCGTTGCCCCATAGGGAGCTCCACCGAATGCCACAGTGGCAGCGCCCGCGTGCGGCTCCACCCTCCGTGTCGGCGACCCCTCGCACGTTACGTGGCCTCATAGGGAGCTCCACCGACGGCCTCAGTGGCAGCGCCTGCAGGGGGTCCACCCTCCATTTCGACGCGCCCTTGACACGAGTCGTGGCTCCACAGAGAGCTCCACTGAAGGCCCCCAAAACAGCGACCGCATGCGGTTCCACCCCGATTCCGATGCTCCCCTCACACGCTTCGTGGCCTCATAGGGAGCTCCACCGAAGGCCCCAGTGGCAGCGCCTGCATGCGGTTCCACCCTCCATTTCGGCACGCCATTTACACGAGTCGTGGCCCAAGGGCTCAACTTAAGGCCCCAGTGGCAGCACCCGCATGCGGTTCCACCTTTCATGTCGGAAAACCCCTCACACGTTTCGCTGCCCCATAGGGAGTAGCGCCCGCATGCGATCCTACCTTATATTTCAGCGAAGCCCTACGGAGCTCCACCTAAGGCCCCAGTGGCAGTGCGAGCATGCGGTTCCACCATCCATTTCGGCGAACCTATCCAACGCGTCATGACCCCATAGGGAACTCCACCGAAGGCCCCAGTAGCCCCTGCTGTTGCCCGTCCCTCCCTTCATTTCGTTTTCTTCGCGATGCTCTAAGGCCCCAGTGGCAGCGCCCGCATTGCGGCCCCACCACATTTCGGCACACCATTCACGCGCTTCGTGGCCCCAGCAGGAGATCCACCGAAGGCGATGCTCACAACGACGGCACTCACAACTGCATATGGTTGGAGCCTTTTCCTGGGAATCGACGATCATTTGTGTCTGTTTTTGTTCCGCTCCTGACCTGTGGCCGCTTGCTTGCTCAAGCCCGTGGACCGTAAAGACGGCGTGCAAAATGCAGCCAGCGCGCCTCAGCCGCCGGTCGGCGGCTGGGACGAAGACGCCAGCTGTGCCAGGCAACGGCCCTGAACGGGGCCCCGAGCGAAAGGGCTGAACCGCATCACGTGGAAAAAAGCTTGTGGGGATCTGCAGAGGCACAGCGCCGATCACCAGTGGTGAAGAATACTGAGAAACCCAAACTGACCCAGACCTCCGACGGCCCGATTTTTCCCAGCCATCCTGTGGTGTTGGGTCCTCGCTTTGAAGAGACAGCGCCCCGCGTCCCTACCTCCTCCCTCCTCCTTTCGCTCACTTCTCCCTCTTCCCATCCGTGCTCCTGCACTCCGCGTGTCCATGCCGGCAACACCCCATCACGCGCTTCGTGGGCCCATCGGGAGCTCCACCGGAGGGCCCCATGGCACCGTTCGCAGGCGCCCTCGCCACCCCATTCGGCACACCCCTCCCGCGCTTGGTGGCCCCATAAGAGTCAACCACCGAAGGCCCCAGTGGCGCCTCTCGCATGCGCCCCCCGCACCCAGCACGGCACACCGTCACACCCCTCACGCGCTTCGTGGCTCCGCGGGGAGCTCCACCGAAGG